GAGCTCCCACCGACGCGGAATCATTGCGTGAGACTCCACGTTAGTCATCCAGTTTAGGTTTAGTCTTTGAGTGCATGCCTGCTATAGTTAAGTGTCCTAACAGCTGCCGCTATCGTTTCCTGCAGGAGGAGCGTGGGAAGCCTAAAGAGCAGCGAGCACCGGGAGTGCAGACACACGGGAGCAGAGAGCACAAGGAGGACACGACACGGGAGTCTGGGGAAAGCACGGGGATTTATTGTTGTTTGGTTCCATACACTGTAAATAAACGCACTGCTTATACACAGAGCTCCGCGCCTGGGTCCTCCTTCCCTCACCTTCCCCACAGTTGGCCATCGTCAACCGTGACACTCATCCTGTTCACAGTTTATCTCAACGCAAAAACGACAAATGTGAAATTGAGTACAATTTGGGTGAAGACTCGTTTAGGTGAACATTGTGCACAAATCCCAAAAGTTTGATTCTGTTGGGAGAGACGTTTCGTCACTCATTCAGTTTCTCCCACTGAAAATACTACATCCGGGGGAACAGAATCAACCTGTTGGGATTTACTTAACTGGGTGATTCAGCATGGATCAAGACGTTGTGCACAAATGATTAAATTCTGACCAGCATGAGCTTACTGGTCATGTGTCTGAAGCAAACACAAAGTGTTTTGTCAGCTCATCCATCCACCCCGGCATCCTCCCGTTTCTGAATATGTGACTTTAAAACTACTCAACTACTCCTGTCTCAATTGCTTTGAACATGAGAAGGCATTGTGACTTTTCAGAGTGGCTTAAGAAATGAACTACTGGTTCTCATAAGTTGTCTCATGTGCAATTTTTATAAAGGAACAAATAGCATACCACATAAAACATATGCCATGTGTTGTGTAAACCCATTTAAAGGTTTTAATGTGCCATTTTAAAACTTTAAATGACACTTCAAATGTTATTTCTACAATATGCCAATTTTCTGACATTAGTCTGAAGTCTGTAAGGTTTTAATAGTTCGCCTAAAAAAATCTAACTGTTATAACCACGTATGTAAAAGTACATTTATTCTTAACACGCTTTTTGTGTATGAGACGTGTTGTGACATGCAGAGGGTTGGTGTGACAGGACATACAGAGGCCACAGGTTTGTATGACAGAAGAGGATGCTGGGGATAAGGTGAGATGGAGGCACATGATCTGCTGTGGTGGCTCCTAAAGGGAGCAGCCAAAGGAAGATTTGATACTTTGTATGTGTACAAATTCTGATGTAAGTGGAAGTACTATCTCCAAATATATACAGATCGGCTGATTATGACATTATAGCATTGATAAATTAAAGCCTAAATGTTATTCCTTTGTATAGTTACAGTTTATTATTCAAGACAGCTCATGGCCCGGTGATGTGCAACTGAAATACAACAACCTGTAATCTGTTATCGTCTTCTGTGCATATCAGGTAAATGAGTTATAAAACCTGTATTCTGGGTTCTTTAGTACCTATAAACATGTTCTTATGGAGCTGCCCTCTGCTGTTCATCGGTTGAACCATCAGTCTATGTGCTTCCATCACTTATGATTACAGTACAGCATCATTAAAGTACAAGTCATGATTCAGTAGCCTGTAGAACACCTTTGCCATGACTGTTCTTGTATAACTTTATCAGTCCAGAATGGGAATTCTGGCCCGTTCTGCCACAGCACTTAAGTCAGATTGAGGTCCGGACTTTGGCTGTTTGTTTTAAAGCTTCAATTCTTTTCCTTTTCAATCGTTCTGCTGTTGATTTCTGGTGTGTTTGCATAACCCAGTTTCAGCCAAGCTTTAGTTTTGGGACAGATGGCTTTACATTAGACTTTAGAATACGTTGGTACACACAGGATTCATCATTAACTTAATAACTGCAAAGTGACCAGGTTCTGTGGCTGCAAAACAAACCCAAATCATCACCTCTCCATCACCGTGATTGACAGCTGGTGTGAGGTGTTTACACTGTGCTTGGTTTTTGCCAAACATGGTGCTGTGCGTTCTCATATAAACTGTTCCAGAAGTCTTGTGCTTCTGCTTAGATGCTGTTCCTTTTAGAGAGAATTCACTAAAAAGAACATGCCCATCTAAACAAGCCGTCTGTTCCTGCTCTGCAACTTTAATGTTTAACACTTAACTTTACCCGTCAGAGTATGGATTCGCAGAACACCCGTACATGCATTCGGTTACGCCCCAACACTGATGCTGGGCAATAACTCAGTGAACAAAGAAATGTGACTTAATCCTAAGAACAGTGGCGTGTGCAGCGGGGTGGCCTGCCCCTCCCCCCGCCCCCACCAGACTGGCCACCCCAGGTGCCACCCCGTAGCTAAAACAATAAAATTCAATCAAATATCAAATGTACGATTATGTTTCCACAGTAAAGCCTAGATATCCGAGTGTAAGTGAATGCAGCATTGGCTTCTGCACTATGAGCATCACATTAGCAAAGGTAGGAGAGCCAAGCAGGAAAGACGGCACTGCAGAAAACAATTTTTCGGCGAAAGAAAATGAGGAGAGAATAAATGTCCCGGTAAGTAATATCAAGTTTGTTGAGTTTAGTAAACTTATTAGAAATTAGAATACCAAGGAAAAAATAACACTTAAAGAATTATTGCAACCCTCGAATATTTCAGACAGTACTGGGGGAGCTAGCACAAGAGTTATGAGTTATAAGATATAATCCAAGTTGTAACATTTGGTTGCAGGTTAACATAGCTGGGCTGGCCATTGGGCATACCGGTGGGCTGATGACTTTTTTTTTTTTGTAAAGGCATGAACAGTGAGAGGTGGTGGATTGGCCAGATGCTGGCCGATGTGTAAAAAATAACTCAGTTGTTTGGTGGTGGCTATGGCGGGGCTTCCACAGAGGCAACAGGTGGATGAGGGAAGGGGAGGCAGGAGGAGCAGAGACCCGAGGCAGCCACCGGTCCGAGTGTCAGGTGAACTGAATGTCAGGTAAGAAGTTATGACCTGCAGTCTATCTGGGTCAGATATAAACTAAGTTTGGGTGGAGTTTATTTTTGTTGTGCTGACTTTTTACTGTCAGTTACAATAACTCGTACTGCGTGCTAGCTAGCATGACAGAGTTTCTATACAGCTGGGTGAGTGCTATGATGTTTCTGATAGTGAACTTTATTTTATTCATAAGGTTAGTTAGTAGAGTTGCCAACGGCTCCTTAAAAAATGGAATGGTCCCTCATTCAGAGAAAATATTACACGTTTGGTGTTGAGCTGAGAAGAGACGCAGTTTGTCCCGTACTTTAGCTATAATGAAAAAAAGACACAAAGCTGGAGTTATTCTGTCATTACGCTGCACAGCTGCCTCTTCTTCTCTCATTCTCTCCCCCTCCCTCTCCTGTTGCTACTTCAATCATGAAACTGATCAATGATCAGCTGATCGGCTTTTCTCTCGCGTTTGTTTATCGCCCACTTTGCGCCAGAAAGAGGAACCCAGCAGATGTCGTGCTAAACAACAGCAGCACGTTTAAGCTTGATCAGCTGTTGTTAGAATTTATTTAATATTAATTTCTAGTATCAGCTGATGTTTGCTGGAGCCACAGCTGTAAAGCTGCTGGTCATGATGTCTGTTTAGATATGTGGTGAGAGGGAAACATGCAGATGAAACCAGGAGATGTCCTTACTGAATCATCAGAGCTGAACAGGTGATAGAGAAACAGGTTTACCTTTTAGGTGACATGAATGAGTTGAAGGGAAGTTATGAACTGTTTCTGAGAGACAAATAACACCAGGATCCTTTTTTATGTAGCTGACAGCTGGTAACTGTGCAGGGGCGGGTCTAGCAAAGTTTTGCCAGGGGGCCAGGTAGGGCATTAACAGGGAAAGGGGGCACAAAGAAATACTTTTCTTTCTTATTCTCATTTAAAATATCTCGCTTTTATTAAATAATTATCTGAATCTTACGAACAAAATTTTTATCTGACGTAAAATGTATAGAAATCATACATATACCAAAAAGACTGTACATCACTGTCACCACAGCGTTTGTTTTCAGTCAAAGTCTTTATGGCTTTAATACCTGGTGGGCTGGTCTGTAGTGAAAATGCCCGATTTTTTTGTCCCAGTCCAGCCCTGCAGGTTAATACTGGCAGTGTCACCATGCCAGCTGACTGTATTTATCATCAGCCAGTGTTGTTCTTTATACATCAATATTACCATAGTTTACCATGAGGCAGCATAGAAAGTATTTACTTGCTTTCAGGTTTTATTCAAATGTTAGTCTTTTCATTTGTTTCCCCACTTTTTCCCTGTTTCAAAATCAAACACCAGTTTGTGAGAAGATTGTCTTCTTTTTTTTAATAGGCAGATAAAGTTTTGCATTGGCTAATTGTTAAAAATGTTATAAAAATTTTAATATTCAAAAATGTTTTTGCCCAAAACATATGTGCACTATATGTCAGTAAAAATACTATGCAAATATTGCTGTCCTTGAATGCTGAATAAACACTGACAAAGCACTGATTGTATCTCTTGTACTTTATCAACGCAGTATCTAAAAACTTTACAACCTAATGGTTGGTAGGATTTTTTTTTAACATTATCTGCCAATTACATCTGTCACCCTTCTCCAAATCTGTGCCGCTACCTGGCCCCCCCAAGAAAAATTTTCTAGACACGCCACTGCCTAAGAAATATAGTAGTGCTGTTCAAAGCCCAGACGATGATATAAACATTTTTCCACCAAAAGCCGCAGACACAGGAGTCTACAATACAGCTGGGAGCTGATCTGCTGACATCAGGTGGCAGGTAGTGATGAATTTCGGGCTGTGTTTAAACACAGATAATCATCCTAAATTTGGGGCTGACTAAGCATTTCGAAGACTCATAGAACCCTGAGTTAGAGGAACTTAAGAAGCACCTGAATAATGAGGCTAATTCTGTTTTTGTTAGTGTGCAGGAAAGAGTCAGAATATCAAGCAGAAAGGGACAAAAGATCAAAGTGCAAGAAGAATAATGGAGCAGGGAATTGTGCTGCAGACACACCTGCTCTGGATTGTATTTGGAAAGGACTCCTCCACCATGAAACTCCTCCAGCACATCCTTCAGCTTCTTTGTGGAGTCTGAAGAGGCAAGAGAAAAACTGAGTAAACACAGAGCAATGTATTTTACTTTGACTCACATACATCTTAGCCAAAATGAGGATACAAAAAATAAATAAACATGATACAACTCATAAATAAATTCCCAGATAAACACTCTCATCTGTAAGAAGGCGCTCTGGATCAGTTAAGCTGGTGAGTCAGCCTTGTTAAAAGGGGAAAGGGACATTGCGTAGTTCTCACTTTTTGATGCAAATCCTTTATACGCACACACTAAATGCCTTTGTGCAGAATACTGACCTCATCCCACAGCCATCTGTCAAATAATTAGAAAGACCAAATATACATGTGTGCATGAAAACCACAGGACCACCATCACCGCAACACATACACAACAGGGTGGCTGTAGCTCAGGAGGTAGAGCAGGTCACCTACTGATCGGAAGGTTGGTGGTTTGATCCCTGGCTCCTCCAGTCTGCATGTCAAGTGTCCTTGGGCAAGATACTAACCCGAATTTGCTCTCCGATGCGTCCATCAGAGTATGAATGCGTATGAATGTTGTTAGAAAGCACTATGTATAGATAAAGTGGGTGTGATTGGGTGAATTAGGCATGTTTTATACAGCGCTTTAAGTACTCCGTGAGTACGGTGGCCCCTAGAGACAAAGCACGTACAATCTCCAAAACACTTGCAAATTCCAAAACACTTGCAAACTAAAGAACACATGCAAACTCCAAAACACATGCAAAATCCAAAACACTTGCAAACTAAAAAACACATGCAAACTCCAAAACACGTACAAACTCCAAAACACGTACAAACTCCAAAACACTTGCAAAATCCAAAACACGTACAAACTCCAAAACACTTGCAAAATCCAAAACACGTACAAACTAAAAAACACGTACAAACTCCAAAACACGTACAAACTCCAAAACACGTGCAAAATCCAAAACACTTGCAAACTCAAAAACACATGCAAATTCCAAAACACAACGGAAGTGCTCCAGGACGCTAGGGGCAGTGTTGAGCTTTTGTTACCTAGTAACTACACAAGCCAGGAAGTACCAATGACCGGATTTGGGGTCTGCAGCCTTAAAGGCCGCATTTTAAGGCCGATTACGTCACAGCGACAAGAGAAGGCTTTCCCAATTCAAAGGCTGCTCGAAATGCGGCCCTGAAATGCGTCCATAATTTCCCTGAATTTTAAGGATGGGTCGGTGTAGCCTTCATGGCCCAACATATCCCAGACTTCATAGTGTGGTGGTGGTGTGGATAATTTTGCCGAAAAAAAACGGTGGAAGCGGAGCGGAGGAAGAGTAAACTTTCAGAAGTAATTACTGAATATTATGTCACTTATTTATGCGCAAATATTTTTTTAATGAAGAACATTAAACCATTATTGTTGGCCACATGTCGGGAAAGTTATGTGACATTAGTGATGTCTGTACTTTCAGAATTAACTTGGTTTTAAAGCCTTTACTTTAAAAAATATATATATAGTCGACCTTAATCTTACAGAGAATGTGATGATTTTATGGATAATTAAAGTCAGTCATATATCCACAAACACAACAAGCTGAAAGTCAGTGATGCTGCTCGGTTTGCAGTCCTGAATATCACAGCACAAGGAGGATTCACTGCACTGTTAATGTTAGCTATGTTATATTGCTGCCTCTGTTCGGTGGTGTCGAGCCAAACGGACTTTAACGTGTGTTTGAACAGCTGACGGTTCATTCGTTAAGCTGAAAGAAAGATGCTTTAATCGCAGGAGTCACACATGTGTCCACTGTACCATCTGGGAACTCCTCTTGTTTCGTAATAACACAAACACTAAATCCTCCTTCTTTTGTGCTGTTTTGTAGCAGTGTATACACCTGAGACTGTCACCTGTCTGTCTGTCCTGCACTCGCTCTCTGTTTCTTTTTCTCTGATTGTGGAATAAAAGTATGAACATGTGTTTATAAGTCACACTTGTGTTTGAATCCTGCAGCTTATCACACATTTGATTTCCATGTGTGACAACTGCAAGTGTCCAGAGTGAGGACAGACTGAGGGACCCACTGCTGCACGTCATCTGTGAGGCTTTGCACCCCTGATGATCCACCAGGACAAACTCAACAGTGTGTGAGGAAGAGGAGGAGGAAGAGCCAGCAGCAGCTGACAGATGGAGAGAATAGACAGACCGTTCCCTGTTTGTGAAGGACTGCTAGAAAAGTTTAAAATAACTAATTGTCTGTCCTGAATCAGTCTTATTAGGTAATGTTCAAATAATTTTATCATTCCAGTGTTTTCAGTGTGGGAGAAAGTACTCAGGGCCTTCAAGTTACACACTATGAAAGGCAGCAACAAGTTTAATATTCAGAAACCTAAAGTATGTATCAGCAGCAGAATGGAGCTAAAAACAAATGTTTGTTTCAGTTCTATGAAGCTTTGAGTGTTTTGGATCAGTAGCACTGCTGTGTTTGTTGCATCATATTGCTGTAATTGTTTATATGCTTTATATATTCTGAGGTAAGTTGATCTATAGTGTTACATCATATTCTATAAGGATGTTATGTGTTTGTATACTTTCTGCCCAGTTTGACCCATTTAGTAGAAGCCAGCCTGTTTAAGGCTCTGATATCTATTCTGTATGACTGAAAGCAGTTATGACATGGTCTGATTTTCTCACCCAATAAAGGAATATTTCATATATCAGTCTACTCTTCATTTTATCAGAAACAGTTATCACAGCTTGTACATTTTCTTTTTATAAATATATGTAAGCAATGAGCCAAATTTAGTAATGCCAGCATACTGAAGGAACAACATTTGTCTCTTATATATGATACACCTATATATGCACTGTCAAAGATACTTGTCTTTGAGTGAAGATTTAAGGTGATAAGACATATAAATAACTGAATCTGTACTGAAGCTCAGTATTTGAGAGTAGAAAAGTGCTATATAAGAATCAGTCCATTTACCATCTGCTCCAGGCCTGGTTTCACTGGTAATCTCAGCGTTATGGAAGTAAATCTGTTGGGCATCTTTCTTTGCCTTTAGACAATAATTCTGATGGCAAAAGAGCCAAACGGGACAGGCAAAAAAAAGAAAGAAAAAAGTGTTATGGAAGTATGGAAGTGTTTCCTATATCTGCTGTGATTAGAGTGACACAAGGAGACAAATGCAGAGAATGAGGATACAGTCTCAGGTAATGTGAGACGTGGGTTAAAATACCCGATCTAGTGAGGAGACACAAATCCCTTTGCAGCTGTATCACAAAAGGCACAGGGGGTAAATTCTTGCCAAATTAAAGTATCTGGAGCTTTTGATAACAAGAGAGCAGCCAAAAATATTTTTGATACACTATATTGTCAAAAATGTTCACTCACCCATTCAAATTATTGTATTCCTCGCTACATTTTTTCTCTAAGGCAGCCAAGGTCAAAAACCCTGCTGGAGCACAGACGCAGCAAGAAAAAAGGAGGGCTTGGAGGGTGGGTTTTTGTGTGTGTGTGTGTGTGTGTGTAGGTGGCTTCATTAATCCACTGTGCTACTTCCACATGTTAAGTGTAAGAAAGTGCATTGTTTCTAAAAACATGCAAGTTCCTCCTCTGTAATGTGTCATTAAGTTTCTTCCATGGGAATAACTCTTCCTGCCTTAAAGAGTTTATTTTCTAAATGAGTATGCATGGATATATATGCAAATCCCTCCACTGCGTCTCCAACTCCATACATATTCACCATATCTCTGCCAAACACTAACTGTGTGCTACAGTAGGGTAAGTTGCACTGTGTGAGTAATTCACTAGACATGTCATAAACGGTTTCTAACAAAAGAATGGTGAATTTTGCAGGTTAACCAGTAAAACTCATTACCTCCCATCATGACATTTACAGGGAGTGCAGAATTATTAGGCAAGTTGTATTTTTGAGGAATAATTTTATTATTGAACAACAACCATGTTCTCAATGAACCCAAAAAACTCATTAATATCAAAGCTGAATGTTTCTGGAAATAGTTTTTAGTTTGTTTTTAGTTTTAACTATTTTAGGGGGATATCTGTGTGTGCAGGTGACTATTACTGTGCATAATTATTAGGCAACTTAACAAAAAACAAATATATACCCATTTCAATTATTTATTTTTACCAGTGAAACCAATATAACATCTCCACATTCACAAATATACATTTCTGACATTCAAAAACAAAACAAAAACAAATCAGCGACCAATATAGCCACCTTTCTTTGCAAGGACACTCAAAAGCCTGCCATCCATGGATTCTGTCAGTGTTTTGATCTGTTCACCATCAACATTGTGTGCAGCAGCAACCACAGCCTCCCAGACACTGTTCAGAGAGGTGTACTGTTTTCCCTCCTTGTAAATCTCACATTTGATGATGGACCACAGGTTCTCAATGGGGTTCAGATCAGGTGAACAAGGAGGCCATGTCATTAGTTTTTCTTCTTTTATACCCTTTCTTGCCAGCCACGCTATGGAGTACTTGGACGCGTGTGATGGAGCATTGTCCTGCATGAAAATCATGTTTTTCTTGAAGGATGCAGACTTCTTCCTGTACCACTGCTTGAAGAAGGTGTCTTCCAGAAACTGGCAGTAGGACTGAGAGTTGAGCTCGACTCCATCCTCAACCCGAAAAGGCCCCACAAGCTCATCTTTGATGATACCAGCCCAAACCAGTACTCCACCTCCACCTTGCTGGCGTCTGAGTCGGACTGGAGCTCTCTGCCCTTTACCAATCCATCCACGGGCCCATCCATCTGGCCCATCAAGACTCACTCTCATTTCATCAGTCCATAAAACCTTAGAAAAACCAGTCTTGAGATATTTCTTGGCCCAGTCTTGACGTTTCAGCTTGTGTGTCTTGTTCAGTGGTGGTCGTCTTTCAGCCTTTCTTACCTTGGCCATGTCTCTGAGTATTGCACACCTTGTGCTTTTGGGCACTCCAGTGATGTTGCAGCTCTGAAATATGGCCAAACTGGTGACAAGTGGCATCTTGGCAGCTGCACGCTTGACTTTTCTCAGTTCATGGGCAGTTATTTTGCGCCTTGGTTTTTCCACACGCTTCTTGCGACCCTGTTGACTATTTTGAATGAAACGCTTGATTGTTCGATGATCACGCTTCAGAAGCTTTGCAATGTTGAGACTGTTGCATCCCTCTGCAAGATATCTCACTATTTTTGACTTTTCTGAGCCTGTCAAGTCCTTCTTTTGACCCATTTTGCCGAAGGAAAGGACGTTGCCTAATAATTATGCACACCTGATATAGGGTGTTGATGTCATTAGACCACACCCCTTTTCATTACAGAGATGCACATCACCTAATATGCTTAATTGGTAGTAGGCTTTCGAGCCTATACAGCTTGGAGTAAGACAACATGCATGAAGAGGATGGTGTGGACAAAATACTCATTTGCCTAATAATTCTGCACTCCCTGTATTTAGTTAAAAAGCAGCAATAATGAGTTCAAGGATTTCAGCCATATACCAGGGTGGCATTGCCTGTGCTGTAGAGATCTTTGCATTCCTCCATGGATATGCCTCCGCAGGCCATCATGTTACCAGCAGCATAACCTCCTCCACTGCTTCTCCAGAAACTTTCATGTCTGTCATACGTGCTCAGAATGAATCATCAGTGAAAAGCACATGGCATCAGTGGTGGACGTGCCAATTCAGTATTCTGTGGCGAATGCGACACAAGGCAGTGAGCACAGGGCCCACAAGAGGACATTAGGCCCTCATGAAGTCAGTTTCTGATTTTTTGGTCTAAGATATTCACACCAGTGGCCTGCTGGAGGTAATTTTGTTGCTCTGAAAGTGCTCATCCTATTCCTCTTTGCACAAAAGAGCAGATATCAGTAACGTGATAGATGAGGACCTTCTACAGCTCAGCTACTCTAGCCCTCCTAGAGTAACCGCCTCTCCTAGAATCTCCTCCATGCTTTTGAGGCTGTGCTGGGAGACACAGCCAACTTTCTGCCAATGAAAGATAGTGATGTGCCATCTAGGAGAGGTTGGACTACCAACCTGGGTGGTGTCCAGGTACCGCCTCATGCTACCAGTAGTGACACTGACCCTAGGTACAGTAAATGCAAAACTAGTGGGGGAAAAAACAGCCAAAAATGATAGGGAGTGAAAAATGTCAGTGGGCTCCACCTGTAAAACCATTTATGTTTTGGGGGTTGTCTCCTTGTTGCCCCTCTAGTGCACCTGTTGAAACTGAAAAACGCCACTTTGTGCATCACTGTTTTAGGTACAGCTGTATATTAAATTAATAATACAGTATTTGGAGAGATAGAGATTCAAACAGTCCTAATACCACTCCAATGACAACATCAGTGACAGCTTTAAATCAGAGCATACACAGTAAAATAGTCCTATGCATGACTTTTCTATCATCTTTAGGGGAACACCTACTATTATCACCATGAAAAGATTGGGGTTAATGGCTCTGCAATCAGCCGGTGAATCTTACATGTTGCATGCTGCTCGTGTGGGTCTATAAGACAATGACTTATGCATGATTGTGTAATTCCTCGGTGGAATAGCTTCCGTGAGAGAATCACACTCTGTTCATCACTCACAATGACACGCACAATCCAGCAGGAGCAAGAAGACAGATGCTCCTTTGACTAACAAATGCAGCTGACAGTGAGGGAAGAGATAGCCACAAGGCTTATTCAGCAGGCTAATAAGTGGCAAACAGTCATGCAATACAAATCAAGCAGGTTGAAGGGCCAGTGTTTGGATCCCTCCGATTGCTTTATGTATAAATATGACATATATATGTCTATAAAATACTGATCCCAATGTCAGCTGCTTCCTTGCCACGAGGGGTCACCACAGCAGGCTGGTCTACATGTTTTATGTGGCAGATTTTTACAACAGATGCTCTTCTTGACATGGCCCCAAAGTGGCTTTGCAATTCTAGCTAAAACAGAACCAGTACCCCTTTTCTCACCACTGGAGGCAGTATTTAAACGCATGCATGGATACTGCACTTAACTGTAAATATACATAATTTGAAATGTTGTGCACATTATCATAAATAAACATCTAATTATCTAATTAAAAATAGGCTTAGGCTGCTGGAGGACTGCATGATTTGGACTGGCAAACAAAGCTTTTGAGTAACATCTAATGCATACATGAATGTGCTATACACAAATGGAGACACATACAGACAAACCTCATTATATGTACCTAAATCTGCCATGCAAACAAATCTCCGGACAAAGTCACATGGGTACTCACATTCACTGTACTGCTGCAGCTGGCTAAACTCAGCCGGGCTCAGACACACCCAGCTACTGTCTCCCATGCTGCCTGAAGCCAGGGGCTGAGCTCTTGGTGTCAGTCCACGAGTGCTGCAGTGGGAACTGATGGCTATCCTTCGGTCACGTTGTGTAAAAAGACTGAGAAGAAGAGGTTTTGGGATGTCATCGCTCCTACTTTACGAGAACCATAGGAGGGCAAGCTGAAAAAACTGAGGCCACATGAACAGTGGGGGAGGGAAGACGATGTTTATATTTCCCTCCCTGGATATTTAATTTGTCCCTTTGAATCACAAAATAAAATAGCATAGGATTTTAGTCTACTCGATCCAGTTCAGCCACTGAAGCAATGAGACCAATGGGAAGTCTGTCCACAAAGGCTGCTAACTGATCCTGATCACCGGAAGATGGCACAAGTTTTCTCAGCATGCCCACATCAAAAATCCCTTTTTTGTCCTGGAGAAAGAGAGAGGGAGAGGAAAAAGAGAGAAAAGAGAAACAAATTTATTGAGTTGATCATCAGGCTTCTCTGATTCGATATGAAATATGTAGATAGCCTCATGTTAGCAGGCACAACGGAGAAATGAATGGGAGGAGGAAAAGAAGCAACAAGTATGAACAAAAAACGATTTATAAAAGTGAGGGGCGGACAAAATTAAACCACCAGTCTGCCTTTAAAGTTTCCTATTTGTGACAAATGTATTACTTTTCTACAGCTGACCTGGGAAATTTGAAACGATGCAGATACATTTTTGGAGCCTTTTGTCTTCTGAACATTTCCCGTGGGAAATACATTGTAAGTGCACGACAAGAAAAGTCCCTGTAGACTCAAGCAGCTCATTTTTTAATGCTGGAATCATATTGTTAACATTATGTTTGCAAAGCTCTGCCCAACCTGAGCTTTGTTGTTTTGTCGCATTACAGTTGTTATTATATACTAGTATAGCCATTTAATACAGAATCATTTGCTCTGTGATTTTCAGCATGATGACAATTAAACTACTAAAATGGATATATGTGACGTGATAGTGAAATTTGTGTATAACTGAACAACACCATGGTCTTATTTAAATGGTTCACTTGCTGATAATCAACTAGTTCCACTTCTTAGTGTTCACTACTTCAGCACTGGACCTGCTATAAACGTGGTTTTCATCCCCTATGACCTGCAGCATGTTTGTAACAGGGTTTTGGTCACTTTAGACCTAACCCCAGATTTTGAAGCTATTTTCATAGCAATTTTATTGTTCCATAAGTCTAAAAATTATGATTGGTACTTGTGTAAAACTGCATGTGCTCCAAGGTAGTGATTTAAAACATTTTTAACATTAAAAGAGCTGGCATATGAGCCCTTCTTAAAGTAAATGGTAAATGGAAAGGTTCTTAGATAGCGCTTTTCTACTCTCACTGAGCACTTAAAGCACTCAATACAACTCATGCATTCACCCATTCACACAAGCACTTTATCGAAGGTTTTTTTGAGTAGGTGACCCGCTCCACTACCTGAGCTACAGCCACCCCAAAAGCTTTCTATTTCTTCTAGTGGCCACAGATAGTATAGCAAAAAAAAAACAAAAACAAAAACCAGTTCTATTTGTTTACTCCTTTTTTAGCATCTTGTTTTTATTTCATGTGTATTTTATTAATGTTAATAGTAACATTAGAAAGCACAGGTGTGTTCTGTAACATCAACGATGGCTGCATTCCACTTAGTCCACTAGAATGGCATACAGCCACCTCTGCTTTCTATCATACTTTCATAAAGTCTGCTGAGAAAAAGTCTTTTCACTGATGGAACCATCTGAAACTTTACCAGAAGCTCAAAGCACGAGGTAAAACTTGGAGGTTTCCAGTGTAAAAGTGTAAAAAACAAAAGGAGATATTATCCATCTTGGCTCCTGGAAGAATCTGTGCTTGTGCTTTTTGTGTAAATTAGAAATGAGAGGATTTATTTGACTGATGTTGGAGTACACGTAGTTCCAAAAGAGAAGAGATAAAAGCACGGGTGACTAACTCTAATTTAACGAGGGAATAACAAGAGCTTATTTTTAGAAATGATTCTCAACTGAATGAAATATGGCTAGAAAACGGTTGTTATTTGTAACCCTTCAAAGCTCTGATTAGCATAAAAGCACTTGGGATTCTAGCCATTGCTTCACATCTGAGCCAGTTGGAGACACCGTGAACTACTGAGAGAGAATGCACTCGGAATTACTATAGTATTTGGACTTTAGGGTGCTAAACATTTACTACACGGGTAATGCTCAAGTCAAACAACAGAGGTAAAAATGTATAGTTAAATAACATAAAAATACAGCTCAGCACAGCTGTGTTTTGATGTTATTCACTTGTTTATATCAAAACAATAGTTACACTGTAAATATGTCACTGATGTGATTTGTATGCTGTATGCTCTCACACAATTCTTGTGTGTGTGTAATGTCACTAAAAACCTCCCTGTTATTGCTTTGGTTTCTAGCAGATTGCTTCGGTCACCACTAGTTTGTATGAAAAATGCTGTCAAATACTGGTGTGAGATGGTATAGGTGGGCTGACAAGTATGAAAATGGTTGGTGACCCTGAAAGGCAAAAGTCAGGTCTGAGTTGCCATCAAAGCCAGGACTGAGGAAACATGCGTAAGCTAAACATATATATATATATATGATTTATGCATGTTTACTTAGCTAAATTGGGGCAACCGTGGCTCAGGGGGTTGGGAATCGCATCTGTAACCGGAAGGTCGCCGGTTCGATCCCTGGGCTCTCTGTCCTGGTCATTGTGTCCTTGGGCAAGACACTTTACCCTACTTGCCTACTGGTGTTGGCCAGAGGGGCCGATGGTGCGATATGGCAGCCTCGCTTCTGTCAGTCTGCCCCAGGGCAGCTGTGGCTACAATCGTAGCTTGCCTCCAGCAGTGTGTGAATGTGAGAGTGAATGAATAGTGGTATTGTAAAGTGCTTTGGGTGCCTTGAAAAGCGCTATATAAATCCAATCCATTATTATTCATTATTAAATGTAGTTTTTATCTTATCTAAATTTATAGCGAGCATAATTACCAAATCATAGATGAAAACATAAATGTAATGTAGGATTGCAACACATAGGCTACTGGTTTTGGAATTTAGCTGTTTCATGTCTGTATTTGCATTTTTGTGAATGAGTCAGTGCTAAAAGACTGATTTGATTAGTAACCCAGTGACTCTAAATAGCAGAGCTTTTACAGTTTAAACCCAGCTTCTTTGTAGATAATGTAATAGTCATGCATCATTAAACTGCATACATGGCACGCCTAATGAATTTCAGAAAACTTGACCTCAAATCTTGATCTTGATCTTGAGGTCACCAGGCTTTGAATTAGTCCTGGAAAATTACATTTCACCTCTTTCTCAAGTTATTGTGTTCACAAGATTTTCAGAAAACATGACTTTGGACCTTGATCTTGAGGTCAAGATCACTGAGATTTGAACTTACCAAAGATTTTCAGTAGATGCACCTGTGGTATCGATTTAAAACTCCAATGTGGTCTCGTGTTCGCAAACATAAAAATGCAAATGTTCATCATGTATTCCCTGCTGTTGCAACCAAGTGAAATATCACTGAAACATAATAGTTTTTGTCAATAATCACCTTATAGCAATACTGTGAGTCAGTACTCTATTTTCTTTATATATTTTATACATTCCTTTATCTAAATATTTAAACATTAAATTACAGGGTAAAAATACAAAAAAAATAGCTAAACACCAGAAATGATATAACCAGAAATTATTATAAACACACCACAAAATAAAAATGTGACATGCACTGTATGTATGTATATTATAATATTCAGGATACTTAAAAGTTTGCACTGAAAATCAAACAGTCAAACATTTATTCGTATGAATATTTGCTTTGCTGCCCTTTATATTACCTTATCTTAGTTCTGTGTTTCAGTCAGAAATACCTTCTGCCAAAAAGCCCTAAAGGAATACTTCCCAGCAAAAATCCAGTGGGCATAACCTGCACCCCCAGCAGTACATAGTGTATACTTTAAACACCTCTGCTGCTTTTAGGAGGTTTTGTTTGCAGAAGCAACACAAGGCCTTTTTAATTTCGCTCGGGTTTTACAGAAAGGACTCTTCAGTCCAAACATTATCACAGGGAAACTGTGTCATGCTTTATTCCTTAATATTCTCCCTTCGTCCTCTATCAGGTGCTCGCCTCACTCCCGGACTACATGCGAAAACAGCCAGCAGCATGCTGTAACAGGCTGTGCATGTTTACTGATGTTACTAATGGGAAGGGAACAAAGGGGAGGTCTATATGTACATGCTGTGAATCCATGACTGAAAGACAGAGCACGTGCAGATCAAGGGTAGTGGGCCTCCCCCTCTGAGCAGAGAGGGATTCTGTTTTGCTCATGAGGTTGCCTGGCAACTGTGACGTAACAGGAGTACATGACAAAGAGAGGCAAAGAGGGAAACAGGAATCACTATGGCTGCTATGACCAGATGTAACTACATGCCATGGATCGATACTGCACATGAACATATAAACCATGCAGATTGTTTACTGAACCACAAAATATCTTCAAGGATTGGTTTAACTAGTGCCTAGTCAGTCTAACTGCTAGGTGCTGATAAATACTAGTAGACAATAATTACTACTGTGTCTGTAATATAATATTAAGCAATTGTAAGATTGACCTATATTTTAAGGGTATATGCCTAAATTAGGCATAAACTGAGGTTGCTCCCTCTGCACTGCTGCTACGAAAACAAAAGTGCCAACCGTCCAAAAATATTTTCATCTCTCCTTCTTTCTTTGGCTTGTACATTTTCTCCGGTCTTGTTTGTGTTTCTTAGTTATTCCATTAACTTTTCCCTTTCTTGTTCCAACTACTTTTAGTGCTTTTAGTTTTCTGCTTTCCTGCCTTACATAAATTAGTTAACTCTACCTGGAAATACCAGCGTAATTCTGCTTTTTATTATGTTACTGTGAATGTTTTTAGTGATTTTGAACATTAACGTGAAGCAATCAAATAACAACAAAAGAAACAATGAAGTGAGTTCACCAGTGGGAAGACGCGGTGCACTAGATGGTGGAAAATCGATTGAAAAGTAAAAGGAAAGTGACATGTCCAGCGGACTACTTGAAGGATACCAGTCTGTGTATTATGCAGAATAAAGAACATCAGAGTGCTTGTTTATTAAAGTTAGCTTGATAATGGTAATTAATTGCTCCACAGTTGGATTTTGAATGGATAAAATTCTGCTGGACTGAAGTGTCTTTGGGCTTGTTTTGGCAGTTAAAACTAGCTTTCATAACTACTGTTACCACTGTATACCCTGAAAACATATTTTATTCCATTTAAAAGTAAAAACTTAAAAAAAAATGAATGTGTTTTCTGTTTTACAGAAGTTGACAGAGTGAATGCAGTTTGGGCCACCAGGTGTTTACAACTGGTAAACCAT